TTTGCGATTCAAAATTGAATATGCAGACGATAATACACAGCTTGTTTACATGTTGCTGCTTTGGGAGGAAAGAAATAAGCTTTATCGCAATGAGTTCTACGGGATTTTCGGGAGGGAATTTTGATTCGTGAAGCGAGGGAATTTGGGGGAAAGGGAAAACATGAAATGAAGAAGAGAGTATTGGCGTTCTTTTTTAAAACTCTTTCTTCAATATAATTACTTTCTCGAATATGAGAGTAAAAGGCAGAGTGAAACGAAAAGGAAAAACGAAGGGGAGGAATTTTTCGAATTGAAATCTTCTTTTCGAGTGAAGTTGAGTTGTATGAAAAGGATGGAAGAGAAGATTTCTCTTTAGTCTTTAGAAAAGAGATCAAGAGAAAATGAAATGGGAAGCTCAAAAAAAATTTTTTTCTTTAGAAATTGCTCACATATCCGCCCTCTTTGGCATTCTCTAAAAAGGCCAAAAGAGAGAATTTTCTCTTTATATATGTAGAACTGAATGAAAACTCCAGCAAAAATAGAAAAATAAATAGCTAAAAGACGGTTGGAAAACGCTATTAAATTTGCCTCATAATCTCGGCATCCAAAATGCAACGGCAAAAATGATGGCATACGAAAAAGAATTTTTCCCTCTGTTAGTTTTGTCTCTCTATTCAAGATTTGTGAAGTTGAAAATCAAAGATGGCGCATGTGAAGGATTATGAATCTCTTTCATGAATTATAATGTGTTACCATTCTTTTTGAAGTAGGAAACAGTATTTTATTCATATCCTGTTTAATAAAAATACAAAAAAAAATTTCACTAAAAAAATAATCATTGCTTCTACCATGGCTTTTGAAAATTGGCTTTGAAGGATAAATCATGAATCACAAAATAGCAGAAATATTTTTGTATTTCGTTTTAATCAATTTGTTGTAATGCTTTATCTACAAATATGATTATTTAAAATAAAATCCTACCTTCTAAATTATTGTTATTGTTAAAAAAATATCTTTTTATTGACTTAGAGTATTAATTGCTATGCTATCTCTTACAGTCAGTTGTTTTGTTGGATCGATGTACAGTTTAAATATGGATTGTGGCCCTAAAAAAGGTTAAAAAAAATAAGTTCATAATGGAAAACAAAGCTACATAAAATGTAAAGCTGTAAAGAAGTATGAACTCAATTGTCCCTAGAGTCCCTTCATCTGAGCGGTTCCTTCTTTCTATTAAAGTGAGCAAAATGAGTGCTTTTTGAAAGAAAAAATAAATAAATACTTTGTACGAGTGCAGAAAGGCTGACTGCTCCGCTTTCTGCAAAAGTTTTAATAAATTGGTAGCGAATTAAATGGTAAAAATTGTTGAATGTGGATAATTACTCCTGCTTTTGAAAAGTGTCACCATAACTGCAATATAATTGCATTTCATATGAGTTTTTAAATTTCTGATTTGAAAAAAGCGATGGAAAAGTTACTTAAAAGAAAAAATACTAAACTAAAAATTAATTGACCACTAGAAAATTTTTATGAAGTGGAGCAAGTTAGCAAACCCACGAGTGTGTCATTATTAGTGATTTTTTTTCCTTTTTTGAGTTTACCTAAATAGTTTTGTCGATCAAAATGCATTAATATTTAGTAGAAGTATTCACAACTGAAAAAATTAAAACATCCAGGCATTTCAATGTTAAAGCGTTATAAGTTATCAGAAAGAAATATCCATTTAGCATTGACTTAAATTTGTATATGTATATAAGGTACCCCAGTTTCATTAAAAAATAAACAAGAGTATTTCAACTTATCTTTAGTTATTTATCATAGAGAAAAGGAAACTCAATTATCTAAGAAAGTAGATCATATGCATAATTGTGAAGATAATGTTTCGTTTAATCAAGTATTTCGTAAACCAAATTGAATAAAATACCATAGAATTTCTAGTATGAAGTCTATAATCAAGTATGTCTATAATCAGGTTTTTATTAAATTAATTATTACTATACTTAGAGATTTTGAATATCAAACTGTCCGGGAAGGACCAAACTTTCTCCTTCAGTATTTCTAATGACTTTTTTTCTTTTTCTTTTCGTTTTTTCTCATTTAAATAACTTTTACTGTTACAGGGTTCTCACACGCTAGAAACACATTAAAAGAAATAGCAATACATTTAGATTTAAAAAAAATGCATTTAATTATAATTGAAACCTCATGCGTACGAATATTGCTTTACATTGCAACGATTGTTTTTTCTACAAAAATTCTGAAAACATATATTAAAGGCATATATATATCAAACTTTAAGCTGCTCAAAGTAGTGCTTGTCTAGAGGTAGCAAAATTAAATATGGATTGACAATGTAAGCAAACTTTCCATTTATATTTAACTCACTCTTCGAAATGCACAACGATGAGAAGTCAGAACGATATTTAAAATATGTTTGTTTAACCCTTTCGAATGCCGTGGGAACTATACTTCCCACCACTTTTTTACCATTTTTATTTAGGTTTCCATTTTTTAATAACTTCAGCTCTCTTGAAGTGCGTTTGAATCAAATTAGTAACCATTTGTTAGTTTAAAAAAACATATAAAAGTTGTAAAATACCTAATTCTTTTTGAAGTTTGTAGCATTTATAAAATAAATAAAGAAAAATAAATGTCAATAAGTAATATATGGTCGTGTTAAATATACTTACCACCAAAAAAATTGCCTATTTACAAACTTAATGGGTTTTTTCTTTCTTATATCAATTACTATTCTTAAAACAATTTCAATTCAAAAAATACTCTAATTTACCTTTACTAGAAATAAATGGCCCATTAAAGGTTTAAATTATTTAAAAGTAAGGATAGTCAAAAATACTTTTAAATCAAATTTATTAAAACAAGAATCGAGATTGAATGTATAGATTTTGTTACCACATTACATATAAAAAGAAAATCTTCCGGAAAATCAGGAAGAGACGGCAGCTATGCTGAACCAGTCTGTATATTGATCACGAAAATTTTAGAGACCTTTATTCCTATTTCCAATATTTTAAAGGCTTTTTGACTTAACTAATTTTAACGAAACAATTTCCTTACGAATCTAAAATTAAGGAATAGGAAGTAGTTTTTAAAAAGAAGTGGTTATGTATTGGAACCACTTAGAGAGAAATTTACTCCAGATTCTCGTCAACTGTAGATACATTGGTTAATAACATAACCCTTTAAAATTTGCTTTTCCTACACTTTCAGAAATAAAACTTTCACTTTTGACGATTCAGCAGTCCTTGAGCTGTATTTCGCTAATTGTGAGATCATTTCGTCACGAAATCACACGATTTGTGACAAAACTTGAACTCTGAAATATATGATGAAAATGTTTCCTCAACTGTGAACATGAGTCAAGGAGTCGGCTTCGTATAGCAGGAAGATTTCGGGTTCGAATCCCCTTTCCGGCATGAGTGTAATAGTCCTTCATATTTTGTTTGAGCGACATTCATTCATTAATTCATTGATTTTGTAATGAAAAAGTGATTATTAGAAAAGTTAGATTTACAAGGTGTTACTTTTTTTTCTCCTTCGGAAAAAAATAGAATGACGAAACAATTCTTTCATTTTTACGACAGTCGTTTGCTTGAAGAAGTTTCGTCACCTTGACGAAATTTTTACTCGGAGCATAAACCGGGAAACGTCAAAAAGGAGAAAAATTTCGTCAAATTTGAATATCCATATTTTACAGTATACAAAATAACTTTTCTAAAAATAATGAATCAAAGCAAAAATATTTCCAACGAACAGAATTTCTATTAAATTTTTAACAGAACTTTAATTTTTAATTCCTATTTAACTTTTAATTTCTTTTAACTACTTAATTTCTTTTAACTACTTAATTTCTATTTCACTTCTATTTAATTTTTAATTTCTATTTAACTTTAATTTTTAATTTCAATTTAGCTTCTATTTAATTTTTAATTTCTATTTAACTTTAATATTTAATTTCTATTCAGAACTTTAATTTCTATTTAATTTTTTTTATCTAGAGGTGCACACTCCTTAATTTTGTAAAAATTTAATACAATGTTTTGAGCTGTGGAGGCTTAGGGGATAGAGGGCTTGCCTCCCAATGAGATGAACTGGATTCTTATCTCAGCGATGGCAAAATATCCTCAGTGGAATCATGGGTTAGAGTCTCCTTGCCGTAAGGCTAACCGTGGGAGAGTTTCGCGGTTTTCCTCTTCATGTAATGCAAAGGCGGGTTAGTTCCACCAAAAAGTCATCCGCGAAGACAAATTTCACCTAATACTTAATCCAGGAGCTCCCTTGTCCTCTGGATCTGGTTCAAAATTACAAGGCTACGGAGTTGAACATTGGTAGTCGTAAATCCAAAATTGGATCAGCTCAAAATTGGATGATGGTTATAAAATACAATTCCTTCACAACTATTAGAAAAACTATTTTTTGAATTAACGGAAATTCCATAGTAGTTCGAGGGTAAGATTAAAAAAAGTTTTTCAGAAAAACACCTTATTTTAAAGTTAAAAATATTCTAAATTTCGAGAAGTTTTCTTTTGGTTTGTGATTCTGTAGGAAGCCCTTTTAAGGGATGAAAGCTTTAGAGTTGACAGGCAGGTTCACTGCAAAGAAATGATTTTTAAAGTAAAGAAAAATTTTAAAGCTTTAAATGGTGGAGCAATTTTTTTTTCTTCAATTTTGTAGGCAAAGGCACATCGAAGCATGCATTTTACCCTCTTTACTAACTTTTCTATGCCTTTTCATGGTTTTCTCCGCCATTATTTATTCAAGTTTCCGCCAAAAGCTTTCTTCTAATGCTGCATTTTGTTCGCTTCATGCAGCGAGAATGAAAAGAGACGAAATAATAATGGATAAATAGGAGTAAAAAAAAATCAGGGATCTTCAAAACTCCCACAGTCGAAAAAGAGCGAGCAGTTTTCGAACGTGCACCGAAAAAAAAAAGCTTAGCACATCGTTCTTGCACACAGAATGCACAGCTTTAAAATGGAACGAACCGGCGCACAATGCGCTCCATCCTTAACATAATGAACAGCGAAAAATAGTGGAATAGAAAATAAAATAAAAAATAAAAAAATAGGGCAGAAAAAAAGTGGTTCGCACAGCAACCAGAAATGTGCAGAGCGAAATTTGTATGAAATAAAAAAATGAAGGAAAAGTTTTGAAGAATGAAAAAGACTCCTATTGTTATGGTAGTTCTAACGCCGCTCAAGTGCCGACGGCTTGGATTGGCGGAAACCCCCAGATGCCATGACGTCGCTCATTGGTCGAACGTGACTAGCGGGGCGTGTGACTTGAACGAACCACCGCGAAGCGCCCTTTTGCGTTGGCCGCAAATGGGCTACAGAACACCTGCGCCTTATTCTGCCTAACCCCCCCTTTCCCCGTGGGGGCTAATTTACCGAGAGGGTACCCCAACCCCCCGAAAAGAGGTACTTTTCAGTCCTTACATAAGTTCTGCATGTAAGCTCACATAAAATCTTTGTCCGATTGTCAAGCAGGCTGTGGTTTTGTGTTGTTCTGGGGGGGCCATTCAAAAAGATTTCCCCATGTACCAGCCTTTTTTGACATCCACTCTATGTGACCACTTTTACCAACAGCATCTGCTTTTTGACAAAATTTAGAAGGGATACTTGCTTAGTGACCTGAGTCTACAGCCGTCATTTTTACAACAGGCACAGTGATGACTATGACTTTCTAACGGATTTTGCAGAATCGTCAGCTTTTTATAAATCAATTGCAACACGAGACTCACGTGGTTTTCTGGAAACAAAAGTGATTAGACTATGATTTCGAATCCAAATTGTATTTTTATGGTGGCGTCGATTTAAATTGATTCTGCACAATCGACGAGAAGTTGACCAACAATTGATGAATTTGATCTCTGTTTTTAGAATTGGAAATGTTGAAAATGAAATTTATGAGGTAAAAAGTTCCTGGAAAAATGTGTTTTTGTGTCTGAAACTATTGAAAACTTTTTAAGAAACTGTATTTCTAAATAACAGAAATCTGGGTTGATAGTATTACGTATACAACAGAAGTGGTTATTAACACAGATATCAACTACTTATTGAACTGCAATAAAAGATAAAAAAATATATATATCCAATTCAATTACTCCTACTTTGATTGCATTCGATAATTCTGGCCGATTTTTTATCTTTTAAAAATTGGGAATGCACGCTGATGATTTGGAGCTAAGTTTTTAAACTGTTATTTTAATTTCTTTTGAAATGGCTTTGAAGATGAAGAGAACATTAAATCAAGTGAAATCTTTGGTAAGATTCTATCATTCATTCTAATTATTATTCATTTTGATCGTTCATATTTTACCCTTTATAACTTATAATTATGATAATTAAATAAATTCAGGCAAACTATAAAATTTCAGAAATAAAACAATTTTAAAGTAACTTTTACATAATAGCCCAGGATCACAGAATTAAATGCATGCTAATCAACTTTCACTTCTGAAAAATCAATTGGGATACATGTGTCACTTTCATATATGTTTTTTTCCTGATGCTCTAATTACAAGCAAAAATATATTTTGGTACATTTTATCATAAAAAAACAGTCTAATAGTTACTAGAAGAATCTGTTAGAATTATGTTTGTACTAAAATATAAAAACCAAAAAATGCAATTTGGATTTTCTTTTTCTATTCATTTTCAAAAATGTATCATTAATTAATTATATAAATTAAAGAAATTTCAATGACAAATAATTGTCTCTCTTAAATCTAAACAACTGCAAATAAGTGCCCGTTTGAAAAATTATTGTTTGGAAGAGAGCTGTGTTCGAAAGATTTTGCTTTTAACCCCTTGGGGACGGGTGATTCATAAAAGCATTCGTACAAAATCAGAAACAGGATGCAAATAAATAAAAAACGGTAACTTACATGTAGGCGTTGCTAATTTGTCAGACTTACTTTGCTTTTACTTTACCTATTGTTAGTTTAATCATATGTCTAATCAATGTTAATTACTAAATAATTTTATTTTGAACTAAGTAATGGTGGATTAAATAAATCAAACAATTAGAGACCCACCCACAAATAAACTGCTAAACAAATACTTTTTTTACCAGTTTTATCTTTTTACCCTGATTAATACGGTTTTATAGTGGCACGTATTTGTGACAGTCGGCGCGAAAGGGATATGGAGATAAGTGTTGAACTGCTGGGATATTGAATTGCTTTTAAAATATACAGCAAAATTTGTTCTACCTCTTCGCATAGTTGCTAGGTTTTCTTTTTACTGTAGCAATTGTGAGAAAATAAGTGAATTTGAAATTGCAGTACATTAAAAAATGCAGTATTGCATTTTTATGTATTCATTCAGGTTATTTATATCTAGAGTAGGCATTAATTATTCTACAATATGCAAAAACAGCTGAAAATAAAAATTTTTAATTTTTATGTAATAATTAAATGTAACAAAAAAGAACCTGATAAACAAAACATGAAATTACTTAATGCAATGCCTTATATATATATATATATATATATATAAATTTANCTATGTACTATCTAATCTCTGTAAGACATCATGGAATTTGAAAATACTTATTTTCTATAGCTCGAAACGTAAAAAGTGTCAAGAAAGTTATTTTGTTTTGAAAATATAAGATAATCCTTGCGCACTAGAATACTTATTAAACTTAAGATCTAATTTTAATGTCTTAATTTTAAATTGCCATGGGCATTTTTGTTTTTAAAATGATCGCGCTTTAGAGAAAAAAAAAAAATTTCTTTTCAGTTTTAACTTTTTCAAGCAATTTACCCATATGCAAAATATTTTACATTGTGTTAATATCAAATTCGAACAATGATGCAGGCTGGGCCTTAAAGGGATATTATGAATAATGCGTCTCTGGTTAAAACAAAACTTTTGCGATCACTAGACCAATTTCTTTCACATAGTGGAACAAGTTCGTATCTCAATCTTCATTATTAAGATTTTTCATGGTAATTTAACAAATGTTTTGAAAAAACAACATAAATTTTACTATTAATAAGAAATTTTTTTTCGATGACTGTACGAGTTGTCAACTAGCAATGGTTGCATATCCTACTAAAACTAAATTGGTCAGAAAATTATGGTATTTTTCGCTTACATAGGAATGAAACGAGATATTTTAACTATCACGTCTTGTCAGCAATATTATTTTATTTTTATAATCTTCGTTGAACAGCGGACTCAATTTTTGATTAAAGACTACTAATGTTCAATGCCGGAACCTTGAAATTTTGACAAAGGAACTCCTGAACTAAGTATGGGGAGAAATTTGCCTTCATGGAGGACTTTTCGATGGAAACCCGCATTTGCGTAAAATGGAGAGGAAAACCACGCAAAACCTCCCATGGTTAGCCTGAAGGCAAGGGGACTCTAACCCATGATCCATGATCCATCTACCACTGAGGATATCTTACGTCAGAAATGTGGTCGGTGCAAGCCGGGTGTAGAATTCGTATGTACCAGTCATCGCAGGGATTCGAACTCGGTTCACCTCATTGGAAGGCGAACGCTCTATCCCCATAGACATCGTGGCTTCTTTTTAACAAATTTATTTTATTTTATACCCATCGTTATAAACAGCAGACTCACTTTTTTTTGGGGTGGGGGGTTTACTACTAACAATGTTCAACTTCGTGGTCTTGTAATTTTGAACCCAATCCAGAAGACAAGGGAACTCGTGGATCAAGTATTAGGAGGAATTTGCTTTCGCGGAAGACTTTTGAGAGAAAAATCAAGCAAAACCTCCCATGTTTAGCCTGAAGACAAGGGGGCTCTAACCCATGATCCATCTACCACTGAGGATATTTTACGTCAGCACTGTGGTCGGGGCAAGCTGCATGCGGAGTTTTTGAAACAATTGAAATAATTACATTCTGTACACTGAAACTGCGATTGCTTCCTTTTTAAATGAAAGGGAAATCAATAAGTTCAGTTTTTCAACCTGCCTACTTTTACTTTCTCCAAAATTTATTTCCAGAAGTGTTAAGAAAGTGTTCTCACTATAAATTAAAAAGAAGTATAAATTAAAAAATCAATTATAGCAAGTATGTTTCATAATTTGCTTCAGCTTAATCATGTCAATTTATCATTACAGAGATGCCAACTTGCTCCAGACTACGAATAAATATTTTTGAGTGGTAGTCATTTATTGTATAATTCTTCGTTTAGTAAATTCGAATTTTAGATCTAAGTAATTCAAAGGCTTGTGTCATATACCTTTTTAAAAAAATTGGCAAAATTTTTCGAAAATCTGCTAAGTTTAATATTTTGCTTTTTACCAATTTTAAAAAATATTGTCTCCTTCGGAGCAGTTTGCACCTCTTTTTATTATTATGGTGAATATTTATTTATGTTTACTTTATTAATTTGTACTAGTAGTTAAAATGACTTCAAATTAATTAAACTATACTGTAAACCGGGGCGAGTCTACTCATCCAGGGGCGAGTCTACCCATTTTAGTTTTATTTAATTTTCACTATTTTAAATTGCAAATAAATTTTTTTTTACCGACGGAGAACTTAATTCAGACTCTAAGGAAGATGGAGCTGTAGTAGTTTGATCCGTTTTTATTTATCTGTCGTCTTTTTAACCGACCTGTTCAAACGTCTTTTGAGAGATTTGTATTGAAAATCAGCAAACTTTTAGTTGGTGCTCCGTAAGTATATTATTATTATTACTATTTTCACTTTGGTTAAGTGATAAACTTATCTAAGACTAAGATTACATTAATTTTATATGAAAAAAAACAAAAAGAATGTAAGTTTTGCTGTTGTAAACAAAAAGCCAGAATTCGCGGGGCGAGTCTACCCATTCGTATTTAGTTTTAATAAAGCATAATAATATAATTTAGAACTTTGTTTATATTAAAATTAAGTCATTTTAAATGAATTTGAGTATATTATTTTAATTCTGCATTGATAAATTTATCATTAATAAGAAAATTTATAGGTTAAATATAAATGTAAATATAAAATATGTTTATTTTACCTATTTTTTCAATTTTTATATTACAAAATTAACTTTTTTTATTTAATGCAAGTTAAATAAATTATTATTTATAAATTATTATTACCTCCCAAAAGAATGGGAAAAGGATTTTTCATGATTCCCAATGTTTGAATTTCGATTTTGTTAATAATCTTTAATTATTATTATTTATTAATTATTTAATTGTAAATTTATATTAATTTTAATTTATTTTTATCAACAATAATCAGAAAAAAATGTTATTTTATAATGTTAATGATTATAAAAACAAAACTGTGATCAAAATGTGATAATCGATCAAATACTCAATTTGTGTTATTTTATGAATAAAAAAATGGAATATATAATAAAGTTATGAATTTTACTTCATAAATATCCTATATAGTAACTAAAATAACAATTTAATAGTAAAATTTGATTATTTACAATGTTAACATTCATTTTAGTAGAATGGGTAGACTCGCCCCATACGAGAGATTTGTCAGCAGTTCTATAAAAATATACAGTAACAGCGTAACTGTTAATATTTTCTAAAATCGATTTCACAGCTTTAAAGAGGGATAAATATTAAAGGTATATTATCTATTAAAAGCCTTTTTTCTTTAATATTTACAAAAGTTTGACCACTTGAAAGTTGACAAACTGAAAAAAATGGGTAGACTCGCCCCGGTTTACGGTATATAAATAAAAATATTAATTATAATTATAATTATAAATTATAAATAAATTAAAAAATATGATTATGTATAAATTAAAATATTAATTAAATTTATAAATGCAGGAAGCAAATAGAAAAGTAAAAATTTTATCATCACTTTAACTATTAAAATAAAATCTTCAGAATAATCTGAAAAAATAATCAACTATAATATTTTAAGTTTATGCTTAATTGATGCTTTTGTATGTTACTCAAGGGAAATTGGCTACAAAAATTTAATTCTTTACAGGACGGTGCAACGATTGCACACGGTTAGAATTTTCATCCTGAAATTATAGTAAGATAACCGGTAGCAGTCAGTACTCCCGATTAACCGTAACGTCTACGGTAAAGAACATCTTTTACCTTTACAGTTTTGGAACCATTAACAACTAGTATAGTACCATGAATGCGAAACTATACGGTTTTCTTAACCGTTTACAATTAGCATGTTTTTAAAACCATAGAAAAGAAATTTAACTGGACATTGGAATTAGGCTTTTGGTCAGAGTGCAGGACACTGGAAACTCGTCGTGTATTGAAAGGGATGGAGGAAATATTGTGGTGTCATGGC